GGGGGGGGGGGGGGGGTTGATACTTAGGTTGCCTCACCAAAAAAATACTACCAGAACCGCCACTGTGCATTTGTTTATAATCGTATTATAAAATCAACCCAACCGAAGGGAAAACATTTTAGATTTTTAACATACCAATTTGTTATTTATGATTTAGAATTTCAGTTCGTTCTGGTTGAGTATAATATACTTTAATTGAAAACTGAAAAGTCGGTCAATACTAGCTCTGGTTAAAAATAACATTTTTAATTAGGTTTTCGCACCGAATGTCTGCAGTACCTAATTTGGAGAGGAGCATTAAAAACCACTATTGCGTTCTAATCCTAGTTATAAAATGTTTGCTTTATAGTACGATGATTATATTTATACTATACCTGATCTTTCAATTACATTACATACGTATTTAATGCACATCATAAAAATTCCTCATTTCTTTAAAGTACCTACTTATTGTAAAACTACAAATAATTATGCGTTGTAAATTAATTAACCGCTACCTGCAGCAGCTGTCATCACTTATCACAACGCGATTTCTATAATATTTGTATTTTAGACTGTAATCACTGTGTAGTAGGTCATAAAGCCATTAGCCATAAAAAATTTGATACGGAAATCCAAGCACGAAAACCAGTGTAATAATAATAATAATAATAATAATAATAATAATAATATGTTTACAAATGTATCCACTGTCCTAGCCCCTAGGACCCGCTGGATCAGTCTATAGGTTATGCAGTCGAGTGCATTTGACACGTTTTCAATGAAAAATAATGTGTTCGTTCGTGTCGTTCGTTACCTCGTACGTATGGCAATATCATTGCTGAGATGTCGAGTAGTATTCCGTACGACATTCCGCGTTTGCGTGGCCAAAGATGTGTGTTTCGACGACTTAGCACCTCCGAACGAACGAAAAATGGTAATGTATAGGCGGCGCTTCTAGATGAGTACCTCGCGATATAATAGGTACCTATATATAATAATGTTTAACCGTATATAGGAGATAGGCATCGACCTATAATACGGTCGGTGGCCATTTCGAATATCTGACAGTGAAATTACTTTTGTTCTGTTAAGTTTTTTTTTTTTATATTCTAAATTGGTGAATAATATCCGATTATATCCGATTGCATTTTTTAAGAATTGAATATAATAAGTCGATAAACATACTATTAAAAGCGTATCAATTAGTAATATTATTCTAGTTGTCAAAGTTAAGAGAACGTCGTCTCAACCGTTCTCTAAAACGCTTGGAAGATGATGAATAGTAGTTTTCATTTTTTTTTTTTTTTTGAGGTAAATAATGATCAGCTAAAACAGTATTTCGATTTCTGGGAAAACGGTCCCGCCGTCGAATACAATGTCTAAATATTTAGATTTTTCCGGCGAGACGAGGGGGCGATAATGAGGCTTTTCGACGAGACTGCGGGGAATGTATGAAATGTGCTATAATATTATACATGTCATATTGATTCACCGTGGCGGTATGCGAAAACTACAATTATGTACCTGCGTTTTGTGTTCAGGTACGAATCATCGTCAGTCCACCGGTTTGGGTCCGTGCCATATATTACGTGGACTGCCTCTGCCGACGTTCGGGGCGCGACCACAACACTATATTATTATTATACACTTGTGCTCGTTTAAGGACGTTAACCATTATTGTAGATCAAAAGATACGGAATACCATAAATAAAATAATATAAAACGACGACGACGACGGTGACGCGTATAATATAATAAAATAAGTATACCTACGGGTACGTAAGTCCGACACGATCGAAACGGAAGTCCAACCGCAAGTGGTGACCAGTCGCCTGTTCATATATTATTATTATAATATATTGTGTTTGGTTTCAACAATGATGGTATGGTACGAGCGTTTTCCAGTATTACGTATTATAATACGGGTAGGTACAACGCATACAGGTATAACACGATTTATCGATTACAGTTTTCGCGGCAGATCGATCTCTGCAGGTCTCCGCCAGGGTTTTCACATTATTTTGCAATATCGTACATAAATATAATATAATGGTATGCACATCGAGATACAATATTTCACGAAATAATAATATGTTATTCGTACGCACGCGGCGGTATCTGTATAGTCGCGAGGAGGGGAGGAAATATTATAATATTTACTACGGTAAAACGAACCTAGCTTAATCCACGGAAAATAAATTGTTTCGTTCTATAAAAAGCCGCAGAATAATATAACGTTTTAAAACCAAATCTGCCCGAGCCTCTAACAAAAAAAAAAAAAAAAATGTGCTCATCGTTATGCTGTAACTACCTACCTGCACAATAAATTATAGCTGATGGGCGAAAGTTCATTAGGTATTTATTTCGGCGTTTAAATAATTCATCGCTATTTGCTGTACTAGATACACCCCCCACGAAAAATTCCTAAAATATCGTGGGCTAATGCGCGTGTCTGCTTCCGCAGCGCAGCTCATAATATAATATAATATTATGACCTACCTACCCGTACGATACGAAATTATTACAGAACGAATATGTATCTACCTATATTATGTTACAATATTATGTCGTATTGCATTTTTCGCAGTGTTCCTGCGACATAATATATTATGTAGACATTTAACGTTGTCGTGCACATTGCACGCATAATATATAATATATAATAATGTGCACATATTATTATTATCATAATAAGAGAGCGCGCAATAATGACATTGTAATGTCAATCATCGCCGACCACGGCGACGGTAACCGCGGTATCGTTACCTGTTACATATACCTGCTGCAGAATATCATGATAATATATAATACACGCGCGCGCGCGCACACATTATTATTATATTTATATGGTTGATTTGCATAGGAACACGTAATTTCATGATTATTAGGTTATATCCGCCCGCGGTATTTGAAGTGTATATTGTGTACGACACTACCCGGAGTCGGACGTATACGAGCTCAACGAGAGAATAAGTTATTCCGTTTCGTACGTGATTCAAATACACCATCGTATATGCGTATTAATTCAATTCGAAGATATATCACGCGAAGAATGAATAATGTATATTGACTCTGCAGCCGTATGAAAACTGCCCCCCAAACATTTTCATTTTCTGCACAATATATCGTTACAGGTATAGGTAGAGGTGCGGGAAAAAAACACAACACTACAATGATATAATATTATTATAGGTATTAAATAACAGCGATTCACACGCGACCGCGCTTGTCGCGAAAACCCGTGATGTCCGCGTGACAATATTTGTATAATATATAATATAATATTAAGTAGGAGCAGTTGAATACAATCACCCTCGAGCGCGTCGACTGCAATAGCAGATGTGGGATAATATTTTAATATGTATATATTTTAGTTTATCGGAGAAAATAAAAAATATTGCTTGAAAACGAAATCACTTAAATAAAAAACAATGTGCAAACAATTAATAAATGTTTTTGTCATTGAACGTTCATATTATTTAAGTGTTTTTTTGTCACATCGTCCTCGATGGCATGTGCATATAGGTCTTATCATGAACTTATTTTTCTACCTACCGGCTATATCAACGGCTTTGTAACAGGCCTTTTGAACTGGCACACCCGCACGTCGAAGTCGCTTTGATTATGACATTATAGTCGATAGTAATGTTTATATTCTTATACGATATATATTTTCAATAGAGTCATACGTTTGCCCTGCTGACATTAGTTGTAGTTAGAAGACCTGGCGATCATACGGATTTAACGTGTTATTTTAGGTATAAGTGGAAAAGTTTAAATTGATGTATACATTTTACGGGACCCGGTTTAAATACGTCTCGCGACCCAGAGTTAAATAATTGAAACGAAGGGTCATTTCGCAATGGGATAATAAGTTTGAGAATAAAACAAAAACTTTTAATGAAAATTCAAACAATTCACGTTTTAAACAAGTTATATATCTGTATAAAATATATTTTAAGAAAAACAAGTGAACACAAACAAAATAAGCTGGCGGAAACAGGAGTTTAAAATACGCATTTTCATAATTAATTTCTTAATTTTCCATGTTTTATAAAATATAAACATCTAACTTACAGACTAATGTTGAAACGAAAAAGCACACTCACACTACGCACAGTCACACGGGTCACGGTGTATTATTAAATCGCAGTCGATAGTAATTATCATGGCTGTAATAAGACATACAAGACGTGTACACAAGTGTTAAGTACAATATATAATATTATACAACTATGCAATCGAAGTGCGCAGCAATCATTATTCATTGCAATAATCAACGCGTCTCGACCGAATAAATTTGAACATTTACGTCGAACGATTACGAACTTCGTTACGTCCAGATGTAGTGTAATTGCACATGTTTGCCAGTATGCACTTAACCCGCGGACACTCGATCAGGCGGTCATGTAAACGGCGAAAACGTTTACTCTCTTTCGGTTGTTTGCAAAATATTATTTCGAATCAATTGAAGAACTTTCAAGCGTCTCATAACTGCGCATTTCCAACGGTTTTTTAAATGGAATTACACGTCTTAAATCTCATAATATATATTATTGTATACATAGTATTCCGAAAACGTCGGT